GTAGGGAAGAGCTTTTCTAGTGAGTTCAGTTACATTGATATCTAATGCCATGCTGTTCAGGATCAGCAAGAGTTAGGGTTCTTAGCATGGACAGTCATGAAAGAAAGCCAGAAGCAAACAGGGACAAACAAAGGCCAAATTTTATAAGGGCTTCCACAGGTAAAACTCCCATTGACTTTTCAGCTGGAGTTTGCCTGAGCAAAGGGCTATGAGAGAACCAAATAAAGACCTCAGAGTTGGTCTAAACATATTTGCATTTAAGAGACTTGGCCTGGGTTCCTCTTTCAACCTTCATGTCTCTCCATTGAAGTCAACAGAGATGCATTAGAAGTGGTCTTGGCTCATTCTGTACACTAATGATGCTGTATCAATAAATAACAGGATTCTTTATTCACGTGGATCACAGAGCTCTGTCTTAAAAGCAGACATGCTTTGAAGTATACATTATACACTCAACATTTTCCTGAAGAAAGAATTTGGAAGTGATGTCACTTCAGTGAGACCAGACTGGCCAAGAAAACCTCCTATTTTTCCATAATATATAATGTAGCATTCAATCCATTCAGCTTCTCACCCCAACAACAGGGCAGCATTCCAGCAAAGCCCTAGTGTTCATTATCTGTGCATTTTCTCAGCTGCCTGGGAAAGGATGGGGCTTGCTAAATATCAGACCAAAAATGTTCTTGCAATATTGTTGTTTCCTTCAACAACACAGGCTATAGTTGTCCTGCTTGCTGAGGCCTAAAAGCTCATCAATAACATGCATCATGTTTTGCCACAATGTTTGGGACCTATTGCCATGTCCAGAAGAGTGTGGACGTTTAGTTCCCCGGGGACAGCTAGTAGCAGCACACTTCGATTCGTTGATTCGGATCACTGTCCCAATTCGATTTGGCTGAATCCGAATCTGAAGATTTGATGTTGATTCAGAGAATCAGCAATTTGGCCATAGATACAGCGTTAAATGTTTTTTTCTACATACCTCAAGGTACCAGGTGCAGCTCATGAATGCTAAGATGGTAGGATGGATGGAGAGTCCCACAAGAGCGTGGTGGGGCCCCCTGCATGTTCGGCAGTGGCCCCAATAGTGGACCGGAGGTACTGGACGTGGGACGCTCCATCTACCCTGGCATCTCAGCATTCAGAAACTGCCTGGTACCTTGAGGCATGTAGAAAATACATATAAAGCTGTGTCTATGTCTGAATTGTTGAATCTCTCTGAATCTCTCCAAATCAATTCGGAGAGATGAAAGGGCCTCCTGATTCAATTTGTATTCAGAGAGTCAGTTGCCGAATCGAGCCAAATCTGCACTGAATCAAATCAGTGACTGAAGCTTTGCACAGCCCTTCAAATTAGATACTTTATCCCAGGAGGATGATTCAAATGAAGAGTCAGGCACCTACTGGCCCTCTATGGTCAGTGGACAAAACTAGACACCTAAGTGCTGAACAGAGAAGTTCCTAGACTGACTTAATTGGAAATGCCAGGCACAATGATGGTAGGGTATCTCCTGGGAGGGGAGGGGTGGAGAGTCACTTGTGGTTTCCAGTCCCGGATGCCAAGATTGTTTATGCATTTTTCATTTGACAATTCTTGGTTAAAAGACAGCAATAACCCTGGCAGCAGTGAGCAGAATCCTAGTCCCCCCCACTTCCCAGAGAGTGCAAGATTCATGGGGCTAGAAGGAAAGCAAGCAAGATAGCATCTGTTTCTGTAGTCCAACCTACTTGGTGGCCCAGCTTCAGCAAAAGGGGCAAAGGTTATTCAATAGTCTGGTGATTATGGTACTCTCCTGGGATGTTGGAGATGTGTGTTTGAACCCTTCCCTAGCTGAAGAGGATGAAGAACCCAGCTGTCTCTCTTCCTGGGCTTGTGCTCAAACCCTGGGAATATTGTGTGAAAGATTAGCATTACTTTACTCTTAAATGAAAGTGGCTGTAGACCTGTTCTGTGGGTGTCTAGTGGAGTTTAGGGGCTTCCCGACTGGACTGCAATGGAGCTCAGTTGGGTGGCAAGTCCCTAGCTGCTTGAATTTTTGTGGCTTCTGAACTGCTATTTGTGACTTTGCTGCATAAATTCTGCCTAAGACCCATTTAGGTGCTTACAAGAATGATTTCAATATGGTCTTCAGTGTCTAATCCAGAATGTTCATGTTACAGACACATATAGTTACATGCAGGCTATTCCCTTCTTAACTCTTCAGCAATCCATACTTTAACTGGCACTTGGGAATATCAAACATAAGTGGAATACAGAGCAGACTTAGAACTGTCCAGGCAGGAAAAGATGAAGCTGATGTTTGAACACTGAGCACCCACAGGCTGTACTCAGATAAGTACTCCAGTTTTATCAGCATGATTTCAGCCCCCTGAAGAAATACATTTAAGCATAGTTGGAACCATTTAGTATAGCTATGTGAGCAAGCAGGCAGATGTGAGCTAAGAATATGTATGTGTGCATGTGTGCACACACAAGCATGCACAGCCAGAGGGCAGAATTCTACTTCTGGTGTTCAGAGAGCTTTGAGGTAGTCATGGGACTGGCAAAGGGCTGTGTTTTACCAGGATGTGATTAGCTACAGATAGCTATAAGCAGCGAAGTCTTTGCAGTGAACACTGCTGTGCAGAAAAAAAGAAATGTAACTTCTTGCTTTTACCCAGCAGCTCCAGGCAGGCCCTGAAGCAAAGACTGTAATGGGATCATCTTTACCATGCCTTTTT